TTCTCCTGTAACATTCTCCTGTAACAGTATGGTCATCTGATCTTTTCACATCCAGCATTAAAACCCTTGCAAGCGAATGACACCCGTTTGGCTGATATAGATACGTAGTGACATCCGGTGGGAATAGGGACGTTGTGTCGATTATCGATGCCTTCCGTAGGGAAAGTGCCGCGCTACCTGAATGCACATTATGGAACCTTTGCGACATTTATTTGAGGATCCCAATGGTGCCATGCTGAAAAGCAAAATTTCGGACTTTTATTTCATATACCCACATTTGTAGTTGCAGTCCTTATTTCTTTGTCGAACTTACCTAGTGTAGTAATTATAAAAATAAAAAGATGTGGTATGTTTGCCAATGAGACACCTCTCCACCAGAGAAAAAATGACATAGAAGTTAACAACTATAGGTAACCATATGGCCTTCAACAATAATCAAAATCCATACCCCATAGTCAGCTATAAAAGGCCCCGAAATGACAAATGTAAAACAATTCCAACGAGAGAATTAACGGTCTGATTTATGTACAAAACAATGAACGAAAAACAAATATGATATACAGCAACAAACGACAACCATTGAATTACAGGATCCTGATTTGGGACCGGCACATACAGAATATGGCGGGGTTAAACTAGTTCGTGGCTCCAAACCCTCCCTCTAACCATTGACTAAGACTAAAATATCAATCAGTACACATCCAACATCCAATGGATTAGTGTAAAGACGTCATTAACAGTCAGAGAAAAACATAACAATGTGCAATGCAAAGATATAAGGTGGTTCTCGGCTGACTACTTCACTTTCTTCAAAGAGTGTAGCGTAATACAAACGGATTCCAGTTTATGCCAAGATATAGGTATCTACAGATGATAGAGTCATAAATGTTTATATGACAATAAAATTTAGTTGATTTTAAATTACTGATAACAAAATCAATATTTATACCAATAAAACAATATTCAAAGATACTGAATTGGTAACCTTTTAGAATAAATTATTTAAAGGATCGATAAGTTTACCCAGATCGTATCTAAATTTCCGGGCTCGGTAAGCAACATCTCTGTTAAAAAGGGGATATGCTATCTAGTTTGAAAATAAGTTTTCTACAGGTACAGCAAAACGTCCAAACCAAATATGTTGATTTATTAAAGAATTTAGTGAAGGTTTAAGTAATTTGTGGTAACGAAATCCCTGACTTAATAATTTACCATTAATACATAGATTACGTTCATTGAAATCTAAAACGTCACTACACATACGAGCATAGCGAACGAGTTGTGATTTATAAACATTAAGATGGTGCCAAAGGAACATCACCGTCCAAAAAAGGAAATTAACAATATGGAACGAAAAATCGTCCCTTTTGTCGTAAATTTTGTATAAATGTTTCCCGTGTAAAACTGTTTATTTGTGTAGCATATGCATCAAATATTGGCTTTTGGACATATGTATACAACAATCAATAACTAGTAATCATGATTTACCTTTTACTTGTTTTTTTCTTGCTTGTTCTCTTTCTCTAGAAGTTGCAGGCGTATCAGTTTATCTCCATGTAATTAATTCCCTGTTCTTAAAGACAACCATGGCTACGTAAGGCTGAATAAAGGGAGATCTGGGATTTTCGTCCATGAGAGAAAAACCGAACGACCCTAAAAACAAACGACATTTAGTTTTCAATATATGACCTTCGTCAATAGACAAGGTGTATAAAATATGACAAGCTCTAAACCTCCCTCACTTTGGGATTCTTGAGAATAAATAAAACACGGACTATCAAAGATCTGCAATATATTACTATGGACAAAAACATTAAAATATAATAAAACACAGACTATCAAAGATCTGCAATATATTACTATGGACAAACACATTAAGATATAATAAAACACAGACTATCAAAGATCTGCAATATGTTACTATGGACAAAAACATTAAAATATAATAAAACACAGACTATCAAAGATCTGCAAAATATTACTATGGACAAAAACATTAAAATATAATAAAACACAGACCATCAAAGATCTGCAATATATTACTATGGACAAAAACATTAAAATATAATAAAACACAGACTATCAAAGATCTGCAATATATTACTATGGACAAACACATTAAGATATAATAAAACACAGACTATCAAAGATCTGCAATATGTTACTATGGACAAAAACATTAAAATATAATAAAACACAGACTATCAAAGATCTGCAATATATTACTATGGACAAAAACATTAAAATATAATAAAACACAGACTATCAAAGATCTGCAATATGTTACTATGGACAAGAACATTAAAATATAATAAAACACAGACTATCAAAGATCTGCAATAAATTACTATGGACAAAAACATTAAAATATAATAAAACACAGACTATCAAAGATCTGCAATATATTACTATGGACAAAAACATTAAAATATAATAAAACACAGACTAATCAAAGATCTGCAATATATTACTATGGACAAAAACATTAAAATATAATAAAACACAGACTATCAAAGATCTGCAATATATTACTATGGACAAAAACATTAAAATATAATAAAACACAGACTATCAAAGATCTGCAATATATTACTATGGACAAAAACATTAAAATATAATAAAACACAGACTTTCAAAGATCTGCAATATATTACTATGGACAAAAACATTAAAATACAATAAAACACAGACTATCAAAGATCTGCAATATATTACTATGGACAAAAACATTAAAATATAATAAAACACAGACTATCAAAGATCTGCAATATATTACTATGGACAAAAACATTAAAATACAATAAAACACAGACTATCAAAGATCTGCAATATATTACTATGGACAAAAACATTAAAATATAATAAAACACAGACTATCAAAGATCTGAAATATATTACTATGGACAAAAACATTAAAATACAATAAAACACAGACTATCAAAGATCTGCAATATATTACTATGGACAAAAACATTAAGATACAATAAAACACAGACTATCAAAGATCTGCAATATATTACTATGGACAAACACATTAAGATATAATAAAACACAGCCACTAAAATGTTCTGGGGAAGTGTTTTTAATCTAGATCAGTGGAAAAAAACAAAAGATTCAGTAAAGGCACTCTTTTTCTAAACTAGCGGTATAGTAGACCATCACAAGGACAAGTAAAACGTTACTTAATATACTGGATTCAAGTATGCTCGAAATTACCGAGAGAAATTTATCAAAAAACTGAACCTGCTGATAAAGGAAATCGTATCGTCCTGTATTGTCACATAAGTTCTTTGATAGTAGCCGTGTATAATATCTCTTTTACGGATGTGAAGAGGGGAAATTTGCAAGTCTGACACATGCCCCTTACGTCTAAGAAAACCATAGTCATCTACAGAAAAACATTTCTGTCTTAGTCTTTACTGAATTGATTTGTTATGGGGAGAGAGAGAGGGGTAAATAAAAGGATATTTGGTTTTAATATCAATTTAGACAATAATCTAATATCGAAAATTTACCAAACAAGTATATTAGTCAATACGAGTTATATTAAGATTGAATAGCCCTTTTACATAAAAGAAAAGATAATATACCGGAAATATAACTTGAAGAGTTTTCATTCAAAAAAAATAGTTTTGTTTATTATAAAAATTTACGTTTGAAAGGCATTTTGCAATTTACAACTGTTTTATTTAAGTATTCTATAATAATCAATTAATGAAAAAATAAATAAATGAATGAATAGATGTATAAAGACGCCTGTCAGCTTGCAAAGTTAAAAGTAATCTGGTATTTTTGTGATCTTCACAAAAAATGCTGCTAAAATATTGACTGTTGCTCTCCGTATTATTGAAGTTTCATCATATAGATCAATATGTTTGGAAATATTATCCTCAAAATGGTTTCCTTGGGGATAACTAAACCGTCAAATTCCTAGACTCGCGGTTTCCTAATCAGCTTTTGTCGTTATATGCAATTTGATTCCAGTACGCTGATGTAACAGAAACGCTACACAATAGTCTAATGCTTTTGGTTTTACTCAAAATCAATTGTGAGCTACAACTTTACTAAAAAGATCTTTAAGGAAATTGTGTCTCTCTAAATGTAGTTTCATTAGATTTTCAGTAACTGCTATGAATTATATAATGAGATTACAATAAGACAAAGTGCTAACATTAATCTGTCAAACCATATTATGCAGGGCATTTCACGAATCTGTAAACTTACTTTTAAGCACCTGCTTTAAAAGTTCCATTTCCCCTGTGTGTTCCGATTGGGTACACAGTATGATGTAATAAATGTATAATCAGGGAGCGTATCAGTAAAAAAAAAAAGCATATATAATGGTCATTATTACAAAAATAAGGATATCAACAAATAGGCTCCATAATACTATGAACTATACCCTTAGCTGGCCGGAAACGAGAAAAAGTAGATTTAAATATAATAGATCTTTCCATGTTGCAAAGGAAACTCGTCGTTTCTTTGGTCAGCGATTACGTTAGACTGGGAATTTCTGGATATTTTAAAACATATTTCTAAAGACTGTCAAACCTTTCTGCACTCTAAAAATTACACGTGTTCATTCACTTCGTGATCTGCTTAATTAATCAAAATCTATGAAGTTCCGGGTGTTATCCAGTACTGTTAGAAATTCATGTAACAAATTGCGTGATTTTTTTAATATGAATGGGATGTTTTTGTTTGTTTCATTTTTATCTTATCCGTACCAAATTAGTTTCTTTGCTTTTTGTTATTAGCAATTTATAAAGCACCTTGCATTCAATACTTTGTATACGTGATGAAACATTCAATTCGATATACTTTTTTTTAAATGATCGTGATCGATTGTCGTATGTTTGTGTTTAATTTTAAATGACAATCAAACAAATCGATCTCTAGCGGGCGGAAGGGAAGATCTAATGATCTAAACTTGTGTGTGATTTTCATATTTTTGCACGATTGGAAATTGGACATGCGGTAACCTCTTTTGACTTTTTCAGCACTGATACGTAGTCATTTAGATGATGACAGTCCTTCGCCCAACAGTATTGACTGATGAATTGGAGGCGATGACAGTCCTTCGCCAACAGTATTGACTAATGAATTGGAGGCCGATTACAGTATCCCTTGAGCGGTTAAAAACATGTATCTCACAAAAATAATGAACGATAAAGATTTCTGTCATAACCATAATATGCTACATTTTTCAAAATAAATGTCTCAAGTTCTTATTATGGATAAGAACATATATGGTGTGTCATTTCCTGAAACAAAGCATTACGCTTACATGAAAAAAAAACCCAAACAAGTAGTGCTTTAATTGCTACTCTTCTGAAGTTCATACCAAGTCACAATGATGCATTTAACAGTCACCAAACAATTCTACTCTCACTGTAATTTTAAGATGACCCCTGGTCCCGCTTTGAGTGGAATTTTTTGTTAGATGTCAATCAAGCTATTCACAACTGTGCATGCAGAACACGGCTGTGGTATAAAATTTACAAACTACAAATTATTTCTGGCAAAGAAATCTAATAAATATTAACGGACGACGGACGCTAAGTGACGAGAAAAGCTCGTTTAGCCCTTAGGGTCAGTTGAGCTAAGAAAAAAAATACTCAGCTCAAACTGGTAGGGTTAATTTTATCATATTACAAAATGTATTCTGTAAAAGAGACTTGAATTAGCTGTGTCAAACTAGTTTAACGATAATCAGTACTTCCTATATGAAAGAACAATAATAACAATAATAAAACACATCGTAAAATTCAATTAAGAGAAAGACTTATTTAATAAGCTAGGCCCAAGAGAAGAAGAAAACGAAAATCGAAAAAGACACTTGAAAGTATCGTTGATTGCAATTTATAACTCAGAGCTAACTTAAAATAACATGCTAAAGAATACCAAAGACATTCGATATTATTAAACGATGAATAAGTTTTGATAAGTGTTACAACTGTATGTATTAGATACACATTGAGGGCGTTAAACAAACAATGTATGTATCTAATTTACACCAAGATATAATTGTTAATGCAGAATGATAGTTTTCAATAATTTAGGAAGGGGGTGTTTCAGCGATTTGATCGTATGTTATTGAAAAGCATGATAAATGCAGGGTTTTCAATTTCATTTAACGACATCTTGGTGTAAATTATTTTGTCAGCATTAGTGAACATTCTGTTATAATGGAAGTAACCGATAGCAGTGGAATTTTCAAAACTTATTCTACATTATCAGATGAATTCACACTATATAAATAACACATAGCTGAGAGGGTGATAGAGCAGATTATTACCCCGAGAAAACATTGTCAACTGAGGCGAAGCCAAGGTTGACAATGTCTTTTCGAGGGGTAACAATCTGCTCTATTACCCTCTCAGATATGTGTTATTTAATTTATTATACTGAATGTTCTGTTATTACTGTCTATTAAATATTCAAATTCAAAGTAATAAACTATGTCGTCTTGTTCAAAACAATCATCCGTATTTATTAAAGCGCACACTTGAGCAAGCATCTCCGTGAAGGGTAATAGAGTATTTGCCATGGGATAGAGTAAATTGTCTCCCTCGTATTAACCAATCAAAATCTGGCATTTTGACATGAAGTATAATAAATAAACATGTCTATCTAATTAATCTGTAGAGAAAGAAGACATTTCTAATATACTCCCACACGTTATAACTAGAAGCCCTCTGGTTGTTTTTCTTTTTATTGTGAGCGTTAATGCAATTATCAATACTTTCGCATTAAAGATTTTACTTGTTTAAATTTAATAACATTGCACAAGACTTGTATTGTCGATGGCAGCCAGGCTTCAAAAATCAATATAACTTAACGGGTCGTCTGTGTTTCAATAAATTACATATAAATGTCCCATAACACACCTGATACATTTTACATTATTAGTGGAACATGTAAATTTTAGAACTATCCAATGTTCACATAAAATGTTGACTTGACATTATTAATCCTTTTCTTTAAAATTTTACTTTACATATTACAGGGTGTGCAGAAAACCATGACAAACCATAGTTTGTGCATTATAAATTCAAGGACATCGATTTACACTTGACTGTTTTTTTCTAAACCTTAATTCAGTTGCAATTTTATTACATATTTTTAAACTGCAGATTATAAACGTAAACATCCATCTCTCAGAACATCGTAAGACTTTCACCCTGATGTCAAGAAATTTACAGATATGTAAAACATGTCTAAACCAAGGAATTTCAATTCCGATGGCACGATTAAAGTTTAAACTAAAGATTCCACTCTTGTGTTTGTTGATTTAAGTTTAAACTAAAGATTTCCCACTCCGGTATCCGGAAAAAGGTTTGAACTAGATATTTTCCAGTCCGGTACCAGGATTAAGGTTTGAACTAGAGATTTTCCAGTCCGGTACAAGGATTAAGGTTTGAACTAGAGATTTTCCAGTCCGGTACCATGATTAAGGTTTGAACTAGAGATTTTCCAGTCCGGTACCAGGATTAATGTTTGAACTGTTCCGGTGTCTCAAACAAGAAATCTTCGTTTGGTTTTCGTCTATTATGATTCTAAAAATACTATTCCATAATATTTGGCAGATATGTTTCAATTGTCGTATCTACAATCTTTCCCCGAATATGACCTACCGAATTAGACTTATCACCGGGTTTGTAGCAACACGACGGGTGCCACATGTGGAGCAGGATCTGCTTACCCTTCCGGAGCACCTGAGATCACCTTCAGATTTTTGGTGGCGTTCGTGTTGCTCAGTCTTTAGTTTTCTATGTTGTGTTTAGTGTACTAGTGTATGTCTGTTTGTCTTTTTTCTTTTTAAGCAACGGCGTTGTCAGTTTATTCTTAACTTATGAGTTTGAATGTCCCTTTGGTATCTTTCGCCTCTCTTGTGGTAACTGAAGAACTTAGGTTAAAATGGTATTTCCATACAGCGCTTTCTAATAGATATTGGGTTTGATGTTTTATTTACATTATGCAGCCATGCCTTTAACAAAGCTACTAATAAGAACGGAGAAATGCAACCGTTTTTTTATGGTTAGTTCGAATATAGGGATATATTATGTACACGTCATAGAACATCGACACCAAAAGACATCTAAAGCTCAACTATGTCACTCTCTAACACGGGACAAGATTAAAATATATTGCGACTAAAATTAACAAAAGTTTTAGAGTTAAATTATAAATTGCAAAAGACAAAATTTTGATATAACAGTTGATAGAGTAAAATTATGAATTGACATAAAAAAAAAACTTTTAATATAACGGAAGTACTAAGATCTATCGGCGTTACACCAAATTTCACCATTCAAATGATTAAAACGACCACCAACGAAGATTTTCCTAACTTGAGACAGACACATGAATATGCAGCGAGGTTGAAATAGATCTTTGGCCGAAATCCCGTGAAACACAAAGTTAAAATAACAATGGATTCAGTGGAGGATTATATGAGACAATGAGAAAAACGCGAATAAAAATACATAGATACTATCTTTCGAATGTGTTAAGCCCATGAGGTAGTTGACACAAATCATAAAAAAACTCGTACTTCATATATCTCTTAAGTCCCAAAAGTTTGTATAGAAAATGAAAGGATATGGAGTAAATGTACATGGAGCAAAATCGCACACAATACATAGAAACATAGAAAATTATCAATGAACAGGGCTTTTATTCCTGTTCTTCATCTTGACAGTTGATGAGGGTTTTCAAAAATGAACGAATCATTCATACCCTACAACAAGGTCAAGACGGCCCCTAGCGTCGACTTAAGCGGTACTATTGATAAAAATAAAACACAGTTCATCTTCTTGCTCCCCATCCGCCTCGGAGTGCCAACTTGTGCGATGCTTGTGTACGACGGTTCTCCAGTCGAAAGCAACAGGAATAAGAAAAGTGCAGTAATTTTGAAAGACATCGATCGCCGCTAAAATATGCCTTGAAGTTACGCATGTCGGGAACGGTCAATGAATTACTTAATTTATAATTACGGGCGAGGTTATACCTCCATGACAAATATGTTATTGTTATCGCGTTGTAAACAAAGCCCTAAACAATATCGTTTTGGTTTCGTTTTGTCGCATTATCTAAACTGCTTGATAAGAGAATCATCTATGGGTGATTGACATTGAAACATATACTTCAACGGCACTTGCCAAAAAGGAAAACCCGAACAATATAATTATGTTAATGTTTTTCTTCTTTCAACCAAAATGAACTAGGTCTTACTTTTCATTGCTAGATATTTTGATTGAACACATTTTGTTGAGGGTGTGTTCTTCGAAGGACAATCTACCTTCCTAAGGGAACCAACTGTGCTCTTCTTCTTGTTGAATTGTTCCTTTCTTCTTATGCGGCAGGTTTCATATACAGGAGCTTTTAAACAAAGAGAAAAGAAGGAGGCATTGACCATTAACACATATTGCGCTATATTGACGATGTCCTTACACTCGGTAATTCAAAGTTTGGTGACTATGTCGATTGAATCTAACATAAAACTTAAAATAAATGATATCACAGATACAGTCAAGTTTGCTTCGTATCAAGACAATGAGGGTCGGTTGATAACTAAATTCTACGACAAAAGAGACGATTTCAATTTTTCAATTGTAAACCTTCCATTTATGTGCAGTTACATTCCAGCAGCGCGTGCATATGGGGTATAAATATCTCCCAGTACATACGATATTCCAGGGGTTGGGTTTTATATCATGATATCCTTGTTTCGGGGTTGCTGATACCAATGAAGCTATTGAACCAAAATTCTATCCAAGTGGTAAAGTTGAAGTCATTTTCTACCATTAACTAATTCAGTTTTGCACAAGGACCGAATCTAGATAAATTAGAAACAAAAATGCATAAAAAATCTAACGAAATGTTAAAGAGCATTTAAAACTCATTTAAGGTAATATGTGCGTGAGGTCGCTGAACCTTAGATCTAAATATAAATTTTACCACACGTCAAATGGAATCTGTATATATGAACTAAACCTCGCTGTTTCGTTCATGACTATATGACAAAGACTCGGTACTTGTATATATATATAGTTGACAAGATAAACACTGTATAGCATGACGTAGTAAAGCCAATTTTATCTTCCACTAGTGCATCTTATCGACTCTGGTAACTTTTGAATTTTCTCTTACCTCGGAGCACAGTGTTATAATTTGTCATTAAATATTTTTACACGCACATTTTATATTGAAGTAAATTTCTAAGCAAAATCTCGTATGGCCTAATT